ACTCAAATTTTCATTGATCCAAGTTACCAAGAGCTTAAATGTTTTTATAATATTGATGAAAACAGGATTGAACAATGTTTTGCTGCCAACATTGTTCACAGTTGTCAACAATATTGAACAAATCAATATTGTTACAGCCGATTCAATATTGTTGACAACTGTGAACAACATGGGCAGCAAAACATTGTCCAATCTTGTTAAACAGCGGGCTCAGCGTTTTTACGTGTGTAGCAAATTACAACAGACTCAAACAAATTGCAATTTTTACGTGTTGACAATTTGTCGAGAGGTTGTGCTCAAATCTCAGATGCCAAGCATTTGATTGGCTTGTTTTGTATTAGTAGCCAATCAGGCTTTATTTAAAAGTTGTTTTCAACTCATATGAACTTTAGAATTTTGCAGTTGACGGTTTAATACTGTTGGTGTACATAAAAATTGCAATTTGTTCACATCGGTTGCAATTAGCTGATCAATATTGCAATATTGCGTGACAATATTGCCCGCAACAGAATACCGGATTTGACTGTAATTTGATTAGGTTCGGCGCATGAAAAGTTTGACATCTAAACTGGGCCTAAGAGGCTGTTTATGTCAAAGTCGGGCTGGCTCGCTTCACAAGACAGCCTGGTAAGCGGGATGAATTTCTCGTGTTTATATGACCACTTGTGGTGGCATCTAAACCGGGCTAGCGTGCTTGCAAGTTGCAAGTGTTTATATGGAAAAATTATCATCCCGGTTAGCAAGAATGCAAGATCTTGCCTCTTTCAAGCGAGATCTCAACAACCAGGCTTGTGAGTTGTGAATATGATATAAACGCACAGTAACTTTAATTATAAAAATAACTACACAGCCGAGCATGATCTCGCTTATAAGCAGGCCAGCCCGGCTTCCATATAAACAGCCCCTAAGGCTCTTTATAACATATTTGAGACATACACTGTCTGAAACATATAACCATATAATTCGTGTATTTACTCACCCTTAGACTCAGCTGGCTTCTTGTGATGTTTCTTGTGTTTCTTCCCCATGTTAAGAGCGATTTATCAAGCCAGAAACAGCAGAATAATACAAAAATAAACTACTAAAAAGACTACATGTTTTCAGACATTTTTGAAAATTTCACACAAAAGCACAAACGAACACGCGGTTCTTTGTAAACACTGTTGCGGATACTTTATGTAATTTACACCAAATGAACATTAGTAATCCAGGCCCGATTTTAGGGCGGTGTTCTTTAAATCATTAACCCACATCCTAACCCTGACCCTATTACAGTAAATCCTGACTCAAAAGGCCCATTTCCGCTAAAGAAGATTTTCCATAGGTAGAACCGTAGAACATTTTCCGAAAATATCATTGTTAAAAGTTGAAATTTTTCAACTTCAAAATTTTTTCCGACGAAAAATTTGTGTCGCCCAATCACATTTTACATCGGCCGGTCTTACCCACGCGTCTTACCAATATCGAAACTCTCAAAAACGGAAGTCTCCTGAAAACAGACTGAAAAATGTAATATATCGAGTGCCATCACTCTATGCAAATCTCCTCAAGGTTTGCCATTGGCCACATGAACAGTCACTCTATCACCACGCATTTGCCATCACCTCGTCATGCCTTAATCACGTGCAACACTGCTAATCAATTACATATCACATGCACAATACTAATGACTAATGAGCAATAAAAAGCCAGATAAATCATTAGTGCAGACATTGTTGGTTGCATATCCGCTGTGGCCCAACACTGCAAAATGGTTATCCTCAACAACATAACATGTCTCCGTTACATGGATGATAAAAGCTCTTCACAACAAAAGAACGAAGTAAGAAAACGCACTCGCGAGTTTTTCATAACTTCTCGCAGAACAAGTGAAGATAATACAAAAAAGATTAACAATGATAGAAGGTTAGAGATTTGCCAATATTTCTGATGCATAAAATCCTCATATTTACCAATACACCTTACATTGGCACCACCTTAGTATATATACATGAAGTTGTGGTTAGAGCTCGACAACTGCCTCAGTTGGCTGCACCAGAATCGAAGGGCCGCAGGTTCGATTCCTGTCAGAAGGCCTGTAGTTGCATTTTTCGCAACTCCTCCTGGTTAGGTCTAAGAAATGTATGAATATTCACATTTGACAATTCATAGTCCAAATCTCCATCTACTAAACCCAATAATATGAGCGTAATTAGTTGCATTTCCGAGCTTTCTGAGGATCCCCGAGATAATGGTCCAAATATAGCCCCGTATCTCATTGTGCTAATAGATTCTCTCCAAAGAAACACCAGCTACATTTGAGTGTACGCATCATGAAAAACTACACTAAATTTTGAAACACGCTGCTTTTAGGAAATGTAAAACATAATTTTAAAAATCCGGCAATGAAAACCTTTCTAATAATTAATATGGACATGGACACTTCTCTATTAATATGGATACCCCTTCGCCGTAGACTTCAAACTTGTGGCAGTACTAGTGGTTTCGAATTGGAATACCCCGATATAAGATACCTTCTTTTAACCTCTTTTTATAAAATGAGTCCGGCTGTACTCATGGCAATATGGGCCACTGGACTGACTCCATAGTTAATATCAGTGGCCTTTCCCAATCTCGTTCCCCGAGCCTGCGATCCTCGGGAAGGAACAATAACTGGAACGCTACGTTCAGTAAACTGCGCATGCAAATTTTGAAGCCAAAATTTGACTCCCATGAAGCCAAATGAAGCCAGTTTTGACTCCCAGACACGCACTTCCACGCGTGTTTCTACTGCGCGATTTACTCGCGTTTCATGGCAGGATGCAAATCGAAAGGGAAACGGGCCTTTTCAGTTTAAAACGGGCCTTTTAAAGCCTGTGTACGACCTTGTAGAATTTAGCTTCAAATTTCCGCTTGAACGTAGCGTTCCAGTTATTTTTAGTTCAATGAGAAGGAACCATAGATACGCGAGGCTCTGGGATAATCCGTTTCAGGGAGGAATCTGATTGGCCGTTGAAATGGCATGCGTAGTTCAATCTTAGCCACAATTCCTGGCTTCCGGCAACGGATTATCCCAGAGCCTCGCGTTCATTCCCGAGGATCGCAGGCTCGGAGAACGAGATTGTGGCCTTTCCTCGGAATTTTAAAAATAATTCTTATGCCTTTCACGTGCAAAGCACGTGAATCTTGCAAATGTTCCAAAGTCGGGTGAAAGCACTTCCGTAAATTTACTTCCTGTGCATATGTTTCTTTATATATTTACGTGTAAAAAAAGTTCGTTCAAAAGTAAATGTGACAAAATGTGACATGAAAAAAACGTGACGAATATCTCGAAATACATTGTTCAATACCACACTGTTCAAATACATTGTTCACTGATAAAAAGATGTCTAAGGAGGCTAAATCTACCACAATTCGTAAAAGAAATCAAGAATCAATCACACAGTCGAGCAAAGAAACGCATCACAAAGCGCAAAAAGCAGATTATGACAAAAGGTCTGCGTTTAATATTACAGTATATATATATTGCCGTGCAGTGCAACACGTTTGTTTCAATTTCATGTTTTTCTGATTTTTATTGCTTTTTCTTTGCAGGATTCATTGCAACGCAGAATCGTTGCTGAGTTTCAGCAGTGGTTTTGAAAATTATCGAGGGTTACTAAATAATTGTATAGTGCTACTGGTAATATATATTCTATTGCATTCTTGATGGCATTTTTACATATTTGTGTTTAATATAGTATTTGAAACTTTAGCAGAAACCCTAGTTGTTTATATGTAGTTTGGAGCTGTATTTTGTAATTTTTTATTTCAAATTTTTAATATTGTTCACACGATTGCTCAATATAAGTTGGAGAGGGGTGCTGTGTGTAGGAGGGCAGTCAGGCACGAAATTATTGCCCCTGATACAAACGCAATTTCAAGGCCAATTCGAAATTTGAAATTGGTGCAGATGGGCAGATGCATTAAATTGGTGGGGTGCAATAGGAGTGGATATTAACCCCTATCCTGCAAGATTACCCTTGATTTTTAGGTCAATCTGAGTACCCTAACTGTGTAAAACCATCTGGCAAAGTGCTTGATGGTCAAGGCGGTGGGGAATACTGACGAGCAAGTTGAGTGGTCTGGAGCACTTAAACCTAATTCACACAGGAAACCAATTTTATTTATACAATATGCTATGACCGAACAAATTAGCGAAGTATTGATTTGGTGCGCTCGTAGCAGGCAGTATAAACCAAGCTTAAAGTATTAACACAATCAACAGGCACATTGATGTGTTAGAAGAGACATTGGTAGATTTGTATTACAGTAAGTCTGGTTGAGACATGAAGCAGGCACAGACAGTTGGAGCTTAAAGTAGTATCCTATTCTGCAGCTGTGCCCATGCCTGTTAATGCTTTTGTATGCATAATTTCTGTTACCTAACATTAGTCTTAAATTAATTGGACATTTGATTTATTGTTTTAGATTTTGTCAAGTTTCCGATTAGCTTTGGATAACTTGCTGAAGTAAGGCAACTCTTGCACACCTACTAGTTATCAGTATTCACACACATTCGCTAGTTGGTTAGAGCGCTGCACCTGAATCGCAGGGCCACAGGTTCAATTCCTGCCAGAGGGCCTTATATAGTTGAATTTTTCACTACTGTCTACTGCTCCTGGTTAGGTCTAGTGTATAAAATTTACTCTCCAAATTCTCATCTACCCCTTCAACAATTAGTCTATTATGCCTGTACTTATATGCCTCTCCATGCACATGCATGCACTCATGTGCTGAACTTAAATTCATGTGCTGAACTTAATTTAGTTAATTGTGTTAGATACAGTGGACTTGATACAAGAGTGACAGTGATACAAAATATAATGTTGTTGATGAGGCTGAGCAACCAGGAAATAACGTAAAACAGGCTCTGCCAAACTTTTGTCTCCAAATTCTGCTGCACCTAATTGAATTGGTTCATTGCACCTATTAAACTTGTCAGTTAGCCGCATGGGCTGGAGATGCATTTGAAATTGATTTTATATCATATTACACTCCTATGACCTGCCTCCTCCCATCAAGTTTCAACATGACATTGATGGGCATTGTCTCTTTATTATTGTGCAGGTATGGAATACTTTTTGATCCAATACCTGGAATTGTGATTTTCTTAGCACACCCCCAGAGATGGCCATGTTCTTGCTTGGTGTTAGGTAATTAGACTTCATTGCTGTCATGTATTAGTACTCTGATGAGCTTGGTAGAAGGATGATCTATTTACTTCCAGAATTTTTCTTATAGCATCAAATATAAACATTCAAATAATGTTTATTGTAGAGAAATTAATGGCTAAGGTAGGTCTTCAAATTGCATTGTCATTGATGTATGATAGTCAGATTATGGTGTCAAAAGGAAAATGTTCGGTGTCATTGGGTTAACTCATTGAGTGGCAGCACATGCTCTCCCTTGATCAGTAGAATTGTCTAAATCCTTGTTTTGCCGACTGGAATTCAATATTTCGCCGACTACCTGGTGACTGGGGTGTTCCACTCCCACACCCCCCTCTAGCACCGACCCTGGTGTTGATGCAAGTTACTAAGAGGAGAGGGCACCAAAACTTTAATTCTGCAGATTTTTTGTATGCCTATTGTTTAATTGACATAATTTCTATTGTTCCTCACATACAAGGTGGGGAGGGGATGCAGTTTTGGATTGTTTTTACATAGTGTATTACATGAATAGGTGAGCCCCATTGCTCAGGCTGATATTTGTTCCATTTAATTACAAATTGATTACTAACTACAAATCTCTATAGGGAAAGCTGAATGGTTTCGGAAGTTTCATACATATTACCAATATTGCATGCCTGCTAATCATTCCTGCTGCCATTGTCCTGAAATTTCAACCTCCACCATGTAAGTTATATAGCAGAATTTCAGAGAAGAGTGTAGTCCAAAATCAAGGCTGTGGCTAGCCCCAAATAAGTGTGGGTGAAATTTTTCTATTTCATGCATTTTAGACACGTTTTATGGTAATATGAAAGCCACAGATTTGGTATACTTTATGTCAGAGCTAGATGAAAGTCAGTGAATGCTCTATGCCTCTGTCCAAAATTAAAGTTGTAGAGAACAAAATAGCTATAATAATGGTCTATAGTGATACAATTTTGTTAATAAAATCAATCACACCTTGAATTTTGAGGTGCGTGCATGTGAATGTAAACCTTTTTATTTAAGACGAACTTGTGTAATCACCCATTGTTCAATTTAGCCCTGGTGTGGAAGTAACCAAGGTGACTCAGACATGTTAGTAGGAGACAAAACAACAGTGTCTCTAATTTGTGATTCATTAGATCTGTTTGTATTACTAATATATAATAGCTCTACTTTTAATATCATCGTTTTGCCATCATCACTTTCAACAACACTTAATTAATCATTCGACTTCAACCATTTTTTTATTGGCAGCATTTTTGCCCCATTCTAGTGATGTATTTGTCAGAGGGAAAGCTGTTACCCCTTTCATAAATCTTTCACTGGAAATTTTTTTCTAAATCCTCACTATGTAAATTAAATCGTTGGGAATAGTATGGAAATCCAATTTTCATACTGATATCGATTGTTAAATGGCAATATACTATGGAATTGCAATTGCATTCACTAAATCCACAGTGTGGATTTCACAATTGCCGTTTTCTAGTGTTTTTGCGGGATACACTAATTGAAAACACCTGTCGTATAAAATGAAAGACCTGTTTTAGATATTACTGTTCGCTTGCAAGATTAAGCTGGCTTGCGAGATTATGTAGGAATGCGAAGTCCTCACACAATTTTTTTTCAGATTATTTTGGCGCATTTGCAGAACGAAACGTTAACGTTTCATACATTTGGAAGCATTACGAAATATTTAATTACTTACTATTTTGTAAATACAGAAACGTAAAAAAATGATGTACTACTACTAGTAAAATATTCACATTCAATGACAATGGCTAACTGTTTTTCAGGACTTAATATCCTATATAAATGTGCCCAAATAATATTCATAATCATATATAAAAATTTTAACCTCAATAAATGCACCGCAATAATCCAATATAGGGTATTCCGTTATCGCATTGATCTGGTACACAATTCTGTGGTTGAAGTACATCTCGTATATATCAGTCAATAAATGGCTGAGAGAAGGCAGCATGACTAATCCTCCTCCTCTCACCTCACCTAATGACGACGAGAATGGAAAAGGTAAGTTGGGGGGGGGGGGTGTTTATAATATTTCTTTTCCCAAAATTGTTGGCGAGCGTGTAGGGGTAAAACATTTTCCGGACATACCATACCGTCATTTGTTAAATTTTTCGGTAATATTTTCGTAAGTTTATCAAAATTTTGGCTATAACTATTACCTTTTAATCAGAGCCACTCAAACATTTTCGCTGACTACGAAAACAATTTGCCGATAAATCCGTTATTTTGCCGACGGGATTTGTAATAATTGTTTGACGGAACAGACTCAGTGTTGATTGCGTACATTGGCGAAGGACCCCCGGTTTTAACTGAAACAGGCCACTGGTCCTGCCCATTTAGTGGCGGCGGGGAGGGGGGGGTCTACGTTGAAACGATACAAAATTTGCTGAAATGCATCAACTTCGCCATTTTGTCATCCTTGTTCAGGGGCGGCTCCCTGATTGATTTGGGCCCCTGCCCTGAGCCAAGCGGCGCCCAAAGGAGTTACGCCACCGATTGTATACCTTGCGATGTGTTTTATTTTTCTAGAGAAATTTCAAAATGGTGGCACACATATAAAATTAAATTTAGTGAAATATCCAGATAATTTAACACAAATAGGTAATGTATTTGCTATATAGTTATAGTACACACCTAAAAACGCACAGGTTGTTCCAAGTTGATATCGACAGGCGTGAACAATGTTGTGCGGCCAACTATGAACAAGTTGTCAACCATGTTGTTCCAAGTTGTTACAGTTGAACAATGCTGTAACAACATGTTGACAATACTGTTCATAGTGGCCCCCAAAACCTTGTTCACGCCTGTTGATATCAACCTGGAACAAGTTGTTGATTTTCTCAATTTTTACGCGTGTACCACTGAACAAACCCTGCTAGTCACAGCAACAATTATTTTAGAATCCTCGCCTATTAGGGACCAAAAGCCCGTTTTCCACTAGGCGAATTTGTTCGCGCGAAGCAATTTTTTCTGGTTGGTATCTAAACAAGTTGGTTACATTCACTATTCTTATTACATGTAGATTTGTATTATTTCCTCATGGCGCCGACGCTGTGTTACGAGTTAAATTTTCCACGCTCAAAGAAAATAAGAGTCCGGTTTCTTTTGAGAAGAATTGCCGAGTTTGTAAGTCGAAAAATATTTTCAAACTAATGTTTGGTGGAGCGTGATGACTTGTTAATGAGCGTTGGTATATTTAATATTTGAGTCAGTCGAAGAAGAAATGTATTATAACTTTATAATAAAAAATCCAATCTTGATCAACTTTTTCACTGTCAAGGTTTCCAGATATGATGTCATTAGATGAATTGCAAATTAGTTTTCCTTTGTTTTTTGTACCAGAAATTCACCCAATGACATCATATCCGGAAACTTTGACAGTGAAAAGGTTGATCAAGACGAGGTTTTTTACTACAAGTACATACTACATTTCTTCTCAGAATGACTCAAATAATACACATACCAAAAATCATATATTTCCGGTTTTTCGCACTTTAATGACATTTCTATATACTACTTTTTAGTTATTCCTCATTGGAGTAATATTGGCAATTGTACAACAGGTATGTAAATGACATCTTTTGGGCATGCTGCCCGGAAAAAAATTAAATTTTGGTCTCTGTCTGAAACGGCGTTTCCTACCTGCATTGTGGAGCCATTTGGAGAAAAATGTAAAGATCTTAATAAATCACTTTTTAATTGATTTCAGAATACTTGACAATTTAATTCAGCGGGAGACATACGCCCGTATTCTAAAAGCTCACTCACACTCAATGAGTGGAGGTTCAATCTGAGCTTCTCTTGAGTGTCAATGCTGTTTTTGAATATCACCGAGTAAGGTATAACACTAGCCCTCCAGCTATTCAAAAACAGCATTAACACTCGAATGAAGCTCAGATTGAACCTCCACAATTGAGTGTGAGTGAGCTTTTAGAATACGGGCGTTAGTCACATAGAAATTTATATTAGAACAAAGTTTGGTTGTATACGAGTAGATGTGCGCAAGATACACAACACTGCCTGATGTCAACTTCCACCCCCAATTCAGAATTTTCATCGGATATTAACGAATCCGGCTAAAACTACACTCTGAAGAACATTGGAAGGTGCAAGTGGTAGGAACATGTTAAACTAGCTGACGATTTTTCCAACACAATTCATTTGTTATATAGTGGATGGTTCCAACTATTACCAACTCTTTCAAACCGTTACAAGTAAGTTCTGCTCAATTGCTGTTATATTATCAGGAATTAGACGTCAAGCTGAAATATTCAATATCTCCTTTTTATGATGGTAGAATGACACAGTAATAACTTTCTTACAGGAAATGGACTATCCGCGTATGGTTGAAAGAATAATGAAATTGGCTGTAAGTATATAAAGGCCCATTTGAAAATTTTCCACGGGCAGAACATTTTCCAAAACTATCATTGTTAAAAGTTGAAAATTTTCAACTTCAAATTTTTTATTTTGGGTTAGCCAAAAAATTGTTTGGCATTTTTCTATTCCTCTATTATAGTGTGTTATATTGCTGAACTTGTATACTCGATATATTTACAGGTTCCTAACCACCTGATGTGGTTGCTGTTCTTTTATTGTTTCTTTCATTCGTTTCTCAACATTATGGCGGAGATATTGAAATTTGGGGATAGGACATTTTATAAGGATTGGTGGTGAGTTAGGATGAATGTCTAAACTGGCACTAGACACGAAGAAATTTGCAATTATATACAGAGTGTTCCACCAACAATGCACCACGCATGCAGTATAACTGTGTTCCAGATTTTTACGCAGCTAATTTGAAATTTGGGGATAGGACTTTAGCTCTTGAAGAAAATGATTTCTAAATATGTTTAAATAGAAAAAAAATCTCAAAGTAGAAATTTTGCATATAGGTAAATTCTAAGTTTTGCAGGATTGGTAAGAAATGTTTGAAGAAACTGACTTAGTGTTAAACACCGAATCAGTTCCCTTTGAGCATTTAGTTTTACAAATCCTTCAAAACCTAGAGTTTACCGATGCAAAATTCCTACTGCGATCACAGAAACTTTGATAGTGTAAACCAACCTTAAGACATGAATTTGGACACTAAGATTATTAAAATTGGTCTAGTAGAACCAAAGGCTGTTTCACCCAATGTACCATTGAAATCACGCATCAGGTGTGGTAAGAGTAACTAATTACAAATATTATAAAATATTATAAATATTTACGAATGCAAAATGTTTTGTGGTAGTATGACACACTGTCAGTATCGAGTAATACAAGAAATAAAAATGAAGTTATTTCTACGAGTACTCTATTTACAGTATATAATTGAAGAAGTTTGGAAGTATCAATAGTATTGATGATCCCTACCAGACCAATTTAAATAATCGTATAGTGTCAAAATTCATCTCTTGGACTGAATTTTCAATGGCCACTAATGATTGCCCCGTTTTTCTGTAGGAATTCCACCACAATTCAACAGTTTTGGAAAACCTGGAATATTCCTGTTCATCGCTGGGCACAACGGTATGATGAGCTTACAAGAATTGGTCGAGGTTTTGAGTTTGAAAGGAAAACATTGATTGAATGGGAATCTCCTTAGCAACAATGCCCCAGCCAAAATTAATTTTCGTGAATGCGAAAACATAGAAAAAGAAACATCGTTACTAACTTCCGGACAAGGGCCTTCGCTCGAAACGTCAAAGTTCTCCTTGTATTTTTCAGGCATAGTTGCATCCCTATCGATCCGAAGCTTTCTTAACTAAAATCACTCCATCTCTAGTTGTCATCCTCTGTTAAGCTGCCACCCAAAAATGGTGGACAAGGCGTGGTCGCATGGCGTAAGAAAGGCTAATATAGACCTCCGCAAATTTTGTAGAAATTAATTTTCACATATATAAACTTTAATATCACATGTGAAAACAATATGTGTAACATATAAGTATTTTCACGTGTGAAATATTCAAATTTCACATGTGAAATTATGTGTGAATTTTCCGTAACGTTGCTACAAATTCCTTTGTTCCTGTTGTTCTTGAAAAAAGCCGAAGAAGGGATGGTGAGATGGCTCCATCCCTCGCTGAAGGCTTAGAATCAAGAGATGCCTTGCGAAGATGTTAAGAAAAGCCTTGTTGAAACACTCTCTATTAATAAAATACATGCATTTTAATAATTTTCAAAATTCAAGTATTATGTATGTTGTATTTTTAGGCATCTTTACTTTCCATTGAGAAGACGAGGTTACTCTCAGATCACTGCAAGCGTTTTAGTCTTTTTACTGTCAGCGTTTTTCCATGAGGTAGAGTATGTTGCAATTACGCTAAAATATTCAGCCCTTGCAAGTGACGTCACATAACTGACGTCACCTCATTTCGCATGTGACGTCATATTTACAAAATGGTAGCACACAATTGATCTAACCCGCCAAAGCTAGCCGAATAAAGGTTCTACAATCCTGGCCAAAAACTTTGTGGACAGTACAAAATTGTAGCAAATTATATAATACATTTAGATATATTGCATAATATCTGTCAAACCCCCACACCCCCATCTCAATGTTGCAGTCCAAT